ATCTTGGGAGGATAATATTCCAGCACCTCGGGTACTTGAGGAAAATAATTTTTTTAAGGACACACCGTACATTCAGTGGGCTCTATTTATTCCGAAATTATTTTTTTCAGAAATTATTTCGACATTCTGTTGCTGTTAACTTTCTGTTTCTGTTTTTCCTGTTTCAAAAAGTTTATGTTTCATTATTCATTATTGTAATACAAATTGGATAACATGATATGTATATAGCCATGTATATTCAATATATACTTACTAAAAAAATTAAATAATGAATCAACCCGTCTATTTTTGTAAGATTCCTATTTAAAAAATAGCTTACATAGAGATAGTAACAAGCCTATAATATCTTGAGTTGAATTCCAATTAGTTGTTGGCTAGCATATAGGAACCCTAGCTCTTTTCAAACCCCCATTTTGATTTTCAAACAACAGTGTGAGATACACTATGAAGGTGTTTAGTTAAGCTTATAAGCTGGTCAAACTAGCTTATAAGCACTTTTCGGCTTATCTACGCGTTTGGTAAAGATAAAAGTGCTTATAAGTCAAAAATAAGCCATAAGCTGGTCACCCACAGCTTATGAATTTTTAGCTTATAAGCACTTTAAGTTTGACCAAGATTTTTACTATTTTATCCTTAAAATATTCCTTTTTAAAATAAAATTCATACATCGATACTCACAGTCCCAAGTATTTTTTTCAACCTAACCCCCCCCCCCCCCTACCTCTTCAAAACTGCAATTCTCATTGAGTATTTAAGATAAGCAAATTCTCTATTTCTTTGCGTATTTATATCTATGTGATTGTGTATTAATCTTTGAACTGTATGTAACAAATGAGAACATATCAAATTTTTGGTGTATTATTTTCTTAGTGTTGTGATGATGAAGACAATGTTTGTTTCTCTTCAAATATTTTGTCCTATTTTTATTTTTTACGGAGAAACTTTTGTCAATCTATTAATTATTATAACTTATGATTATATGCGTATCATAAAATAAATTATATTATCATAAAAATTATCTTATCTAAGCACAATTGTATTTAAAATAAAACAACAAATAGAATATTTTGTATTTGAATCGATCTTGAATCTAAAATTTTAAAGAAATTATGCCCTTATAAGTGTAAACAGTTCTAAGGTTATTTAAGTCATTTTAACAGAAAAAGAGCTTATCAGCACTTTTTTATCAAATACTGCAGCAACTTATCATCAGTTTCAGCACTTGTACCCAAACATGTAACTGCTTATTTATTAAATCAATTTCAGCACTTAATGCTTATCAGCTACTTCAAATCAGCTAATCCAAACAGACTCTATATTTTCTAGGCTATCTTGTATTTATACGCGTATCCGTATTTTTTTAGCTTTAACTTTTCTTTTTTATGGCAGTGTCTGACACCCATATTGTGCTCCTAATTAACCAGGTTTTTTTTTCATTTCGAGGAATTGATCCCGACACCTCCGGTTAAGGGTGAAAAAATTCTATCCATCCCACCCAACCTTTATACGTGTGGCTTAGTTTTTGTGCTTTATGATACATGCAACCTAAATAATGTCTCAGTTCTCATATTTTGCTACTAGTACGAAGAAAAGTTAGTTTATCTTAACTTTGACATTATATATTTGGTACCAAGTAGAGAAAAAAATATCACATAATATTTGGAGTAATTAAGTCTGACATGGCACTTCGCTAAGGTCATCACATTACAATCAAGCCAAACCAAAGAACATTGAAGTGATAAGGAGAACACTAGAAGCATAGCGAGTTTCTAATTGATTTTACAATGCATTATATTATTTCTAACAATGTGTGTGTGAATTCTTTCTAATAAAGTGGTGTCGGACGACATTCCTTATATATTCTTTAATTTAATAATAGTAGCATGAATTCCCTCAAAATTTGATCTAATTGTAGTTTATGTTCCAATTTTAACTAGCTGGGCAAAATTTGTAGATCGAAAAGGTGAAAATTGCTAGAGGGATTTGTAGATTGAAGCTGATCATGACTAGCATTAGAACAAAGTACAAACATCAACTTGTGTTCCACAAGTGGAAACTTTTATTAGGATGTAGGATATGATTTTTTCTAGTTCATATATTCACCAAAAGTATAAAAACATGCACCATAATTATGCGCCGCAAAGTGATCTATCAACAATTTGAATAGCTCTACTTGTTTTCCTCATTATGCGCCAACACAACTTACTAATTCTGCTGATCAGACCGTTCCTATTTGTGTATTTGGTGATGCAAGATATGCATTCTAATTTTTCTTTGAGTCAAGAAATCTATTCTCTTTCCCCATCATTCTTCCTTACTAATGACATACTCTCTAGGTGTACATTTATGTGGCAGTATTTAATTCGGCATAAAATTTAAGAAAGAAAGAAAAATTCATAAAATTTGTGGTCTAAATGACTCGTAAATATATGTATGGCTATAAATTATTCATTAAGGTTAAAATAAAAAATTTAAAATTAAATAGTTTTTAAATAAGGAAGTATGACATTCTTTTTGAAACAGATTATAAAGTAAAGTATGACACATAAATTGGGACAGAGGAAGTAATTAAATAAGTAAATGTATAATAAAGACATAATCTATTTAATAGTTTAAATTTTTAGATGAGCTGTGGTATCAGGACGAATAAAAATTATGTGTTCAAGTCTCACGACTACGCATTATCAAATATCGTGTACATCTACCATCCTCACCTTCTAAGGATGAGTTAAACGAGAAAATCTGGAAAACCAAATTATCTGCTTATCCTTATAGTTTTGAACTTCTAGTTCTAAAGAATGGTTTATATCTTTTCCTTCCCTTAAAAACGTAACCCATTCATGGAACTTTCCTTGCATATATAGACACGAGAGTATAATATTGGAAAATTCCCAAAAATAAAATATAATTTAATAATAGTGAAAATATAAAATACGAACATAAAATAAAAGGGATAGAAGCAATCCCTCCATTCTTAACCAGAAGTGCCGGTTTTGAGCCTTAGGAATGAAGAAATCCTTGATAGGGAGCTTACGTGCTGCAAATCTAGATTATCTGGGCAACTAAATTCGAATACTATATAGTTATACCAGAAAAGAAAACCATAAAACTCTTACTGGGTGGTGATATTATTTGTAATTCAAAGCTGTAAATTCATGTGGATAAGTAGAAAAAAATAGGTCTAAAGAGGCTGACATGAGAAGAAGAGAGCAAACTGTAGCCAAGAACAACTTGCCGGAATTCGAAAATCATCGCAATTTTGCTTTGAAATTTGCCGGCAAGTCATCCTTGGCTGCAACTTCACTCTCTAAATCTTTATGCAAATCTCATAAACCAAGTACTTGTGTTCCATTTCTTGATATGTCAAATGATGTTAGCAGGGTGAGTATATATAGGCTAGGAAATGAAAGTGATTGCTATGTCCCACCCTAATAGGCTTTTTGATATGGTGATATGGTAGGTTCATTGAATATCAGCAAAATAAAGTCTTTGTAATTAATAAAATGGGTGAAAATCATAGAAGATTAGAAATTAGAGTTCAAATTAAATACAAACACAGAGACAAAAAAAAGTTAGGTAATTTCTCTCCAACCACCTAAGACGTTGTGGGCAGTGTTATCTTGTACATGTGCTGGAGGGAAGTAGAACATATATATTTGATGAAATGGTCGAGTTGCATATAAATTGACCTAGACGCTACTGTTTTAAAGTAAAATAATTTATAAAGAATAGTTAGGGTTAATTCAACTTTTATTTGATTCTCTTAACTTTTAGAAACAAAGGAATAATGTAAATAAAATCATAAACATTGAAAAAAAAATTATACTCCTTGAAATGTTAATGATTTTTTAAATTCAAAACTTTCACTAGAAATGTTGACTCTCATAATAAAGAAAGATCAATGAGGGGAATATGCGATGTAGGAATAATTTGGAAAGTCTATCTAGTCTAAAATTGATCTATTTTTGGGGTAACATACCTAAAAAGGAAAGTGCTTATTGCGCATCCAACGCAGATGACCTCATAAAGTACTTGATATGCAATTATTGTCATCCAAAACCCTCCAATTATGGATTACTGCAACTTGTCCTGGCCCCAAAAATAGGACTTTGAGTGCGTGTGTGGGGCTCGGTATCCAAATTCGAGATGGAGAAAAGAATGGTCATTGGTGGAAGGAATGTTTGAATTTTGAAAAAAGTGGGAATAGAATCATATTTTTGAGAAGGACGGAGAGAGAGGAAAAAAAAAAGATTGCGAGAGAGGACAGAGAGGCTTCCATTTCCTTTTGTTCCCTCACAAAATTAAGTAGGGGTGGATCCATGAAAAGATAAAAATTTATCCCCTCAATTGCACATTAAATTAATGCATACAATATATTTGTCTTTCATAAATATTTGTTGCTTAATTATGACAAAATAATATTCCTTTCGGTCCACTTTAATTTATTTTTTTGATTGTTTTCATATATATTAAGGAATTTATCATCTAATATTAATTAAACAACTAAATTGACCATATTAACCCTAATTTGTTTATTGAAAATATAGAAAATACTCCTAGGCCCTTTACTCCAATGGCAAAAAAAAAAAAGGTAACTCCTTCTTGATATATAAAAAAATTTAAATATTATGGACCACAAAAAAAGACTAAAAAATCAATTAAAGTGAACCAAATGGAGTATGACTCTAGATTGGGGGTGGTGGTGGTGGTGGTGGTGGGGGGGTTATTCTTATTAGGAAGATACGGGGAACGAGTTTTCTTGGCTAGCATGGTTTAAAATGTGAGTAACAAGTGGAACTACATTTACTGTACTCGACTTGAATTAATACATATTATTGAACAATTGTAAAAACATACTACATTTTAGTTCGCACACTATCATAATTCAATAGTAAATACAGGAGTCCGGAACCAAAATGTTGCTATTTTGGACTCAAAACACATAAATAGGTGTAAAAAAAAAGGTAACCATAATATATATAACGCCAGAAATAGTGGCGCTATATATTAACGATAACAGCACCGTTAATATATAGCGCCACTATTTCTGGCGTTATACACTGTCAGAGTGATATAGCACCAGAAATAGTGGCGTTATAAACTGACAGTGATATAGCGCCAGAAATAGTGGCGTTATATCCTTTTTTTCCTGACCAGTACAATNTATATATATATATATATATATATATATATATATATATATATAATTTTTAAAAATTATATATTTATTGATATAGGTACAAGCGCAAAGCGCATACCCTAAGACTAGTTAATTAGGAGTGCCCCTTCTCTAATAGTTTAAGGTTTTTGAAGAGAATATCAAACAATTCAACAAAAACTGAATTCTTTGCTAGACCAAAAGTGTTAACATAATAACCTGAGCAAACTCATGTCTTGTTGCGATAAGCTTATCAAGAACCTCAAGGTTTGCATGTGGAACAGAATTTCCTTGGACATATGCCATCTTCCTGACCTGGACAAGATCATGAATCATTCTGTCATTAAACATTAAAAGCTCTTCTCTTTTTCCCGTCAATAGTTGAATGAAGCCCCATGAAGACAACAAATAAGCCAAGGTAGAGACACTTGGGACGGATATAAATGTTTAAGTCTCTTCTTGACTTAAGTCTAGGGAGAGATCTAGATGGAATCTTTTGGAGATAGGAAGGTGCTTCTGAGGAAACAAATAACAAGGTATTGTACTGTGCAGAAACAGAGGGAAAGAACTCCTGATTCATGAAGATACCCACACATCCCTGCTACTAAGAAGGAAAGGATTATCCACTTCATTTCTGTTCTCCAGTTTGTCAAGTCCAAAAAATGATGTACAATTCATAAAGAGATGCTAGAATCATTTGTTTTCTTTTCTTTGGCGGTCTTCTCTTTTCCTTTCCCAAACCCTATACCCTAAAATCAGCATTCAAGACTTCCCATATATAACACTAAAATGATTAGAGTAGATATTACGTTTTGCTAGGCCTGCACTCTCATCTATGCTTACGGTGTCAATGTTAGAGGTTTGCCTTGAACTGCTAATGCTTTAGTTTCCCAACACTAGGAGGAAGAGTGAACAGGGAAGAAGTTGCACTACTGATACAATATGCATAATAATTGATTATTCTGAAAAGCAACGCAAAATTTCTGAGCAGCATTAAGTTATAACTAACAGCACATAGAGGTTGATCAAAGTTACCCCAGCATCTGGTAAACATTGAAGAAAGCCTTGCAGAGTACTTGGCTCAGTTGCTATGCGGAATCCTTTTTCTTTTATGTTATCGCTTGACCCCAGAGATTCCTTAGATGCACCTGGTATGTTACGATAGATAGGGCTGACAAAATGGTGCATTCTTTTAGGGATCTTAGAGGCTGGAAATATATCCACATGGCCAGGGTCAGTAATAATATTTGTATTATACCTGACAAAAAAGGAAAAAGATAAGCATTAGTCCAATTATACAAGCCTGCACGCAGCACAACTAGAAACATTGAAGGCAATTTGATAGATTATGCAATAACAAATGGTCAAAGTGCAACTAAAAACTGACTAAAGTCAAGTCCCATCTCGAGAAATTTGTAGATGACCCATAGGTGAGATTCCAAGAACTATATGTAAGGTCCCATAACTGCATACGACTTACAATGATCAGAGAAAGAAAAATATGGACTCTCCTAAAGGAAGAGGAAATGGGGGAGGAATGCATGGATCCATTTAAACCTGCACCAGCTAGAGGCCCACCAGATCAGGTGTTACACTGTTACTAGAGTATTCATAATTGACAAGAAAAGTGCTGAACACTCATCCATCAATTCTACTTATGTTATGCAAGTTTAAGCACAAGTTCAGCATTTATATGCGTAAATTCAGCCTGAAATAAACAGGCTCTTACAAGCAAATTGAAGAAAACATAAATTAAAAAGAAAGAAACAAAACAAATCCCAGTCACACACAAAAGCACTTCTTCAGATACTACAACAACAACGACCACTCAGTGGAATCCCACAAGTGGGGTCTGGGGAGGGTAGTGTGTACGCAGACCTTACCCCTACTCCAGAGGAGTAGAGAAGCTGTTTTCGATAGACCCTCGGCTCACGACGATGGAAAGAGATACTAATTCAGTAAATCATCTCGGAAAAAAAAATTGCATTTGCTATATGGGTGCTCATTTAAACTCAACTACGAACTTGTTAAGAACTGAATATAGTTCTCTTCATCAAAAAAGAACTGAATATAGTTCTTTTCCCTAAAGAACATGAGCAAATTTGATAACCACCCAAGAAATTAACTAAATTTAGAATAGCATAATTTCTAAAGAAGAAAATAGTCACTTTCTACCTCCAGTAGACTTGATCCAACATATAGTCATGATTCAAATAGCAACCTGATATGGATCTAACAGTTACACAATAGGACATGAAATAGTTGGTAAATCCCATTTCAAGTACAAAATCAACTCCTACACTTACAAGAATCATGTGATCTCTTTTAACAGCATTAAAATTATAGAAAACACGAAACATCAATAAATTAATAAAATCCCAGGAATACTAACAAGGAAATGGTTTTCACTTACTCTCTACACAACTGAATAATGTCAATGGATAGCTCATTAGCTCGATCAAGTTTTTCTGTGAAGCCAACCAAGGTACCTAAATTAGTGCAACAATAATGATTTACCAGGAAAGACAGCAGTTGTAAGAAGTCAAGTACCAGGGCAAAGATGGATTCCCCCCTTTTCCAAGTCCATCCGTAGAAAGCGGGCTGCCCTCTGAGCTTCATGAGTGAGTGAGCTGTCTGTTTCTGCTTTTATCACTGCCTTGTATATACTATGGTTTGTGTTAAGGTACTGCATGCCAAGGAGCAAAAGAGTCAATAAACCAATTGCAATGGAGAATCTTCCAAAGCAACTGCATCAAAAAGCAAATCCAGTAGCGGCAAGTACATTTCCAGACTATACGACTATCCTTCCAAACGTCTTTCATCAATCTTGTGAACATTGCCAACTTGGAGACAATTTTGATTAGAAATTGTTTCTACATCACGGGGTTTACTTTTACCTTCTTCTTTTTTCCACTCGATATTAATCTAATTCTTCGATTCATGGTTGTTGTTGCTAATTTGGCAAGGACATGTTATCTTTACAGTTTCATTGTGTCTGCAAAGGATAATCCGATCAATACCACATATAGGGAGGTAGAAAAACATCACTTGAAATTTAGCCAATATATCATAATGATGCTTACTGGATGTGAATAGATTACTATACCACGAATAAACGAATCCAGATTACCTCAAACTTCAGGATGTGAAAGGATTGGAGCATCTAAACCCAAAATTAAGAGAATGGATGGAGTAGTGCAGGACCATTAAAAGTTTAAACCTCTTTGGAACTCCGTAAACAACCGATGAGGGACAAGTGCTCTAACACCCTCCCACACGTGTAAACTGTTTCTAGGGTTTATATATGGATTTTGTTTTTTTGAGCTGAGTTGAGAGAGAAGTCCTGAGCATTACAATATGATAGAGAGAAGATGGTTGTGCAAATAAGCTTACCAAAGTTTAGCTCTGATACCATATGAAAGAATCTAAGCAACCAACCCAAAACCTTAAGGCAATGGGTGGAGTAGCCCAGGACCATTTAAACCCCTTTGGAAACTCATACACAACGGATGAGAGACAAGTGCTCTAACACATGAGTCTACTAAAGTTTAATTCTGATTATTCGCGATCATCAAGTGTGAGAAGGGACAAAGATCAAAAAGTGTACCAAGTACCATACACCAAATGAAACAGTCGAGTGAGATATATCCTAATAATCCTATTATCTTATTTACCATTAAATTACTTCAACTATTTATTCTCTGACATCACTAACCAAAATTGAAGCAATTTAGTCCAACACAACTGTCAGTGTAAACACAAGTAATGACATTTTAAATTTCTTATCTTATCAGTCTAAAGTGGATCTCCAGGTTTTACTTTCCCGCATAAGTATGCATTGGTTATGGGCTCATTGCTCTTTGGTGGTACAAAATTATGCAGCTGATAAGATAAGCAGCATTTATTTTAAATTTTGATATAATCAGCAAAGCGAAAAACATAACTAACAAACCCAATAATATATCAGAAATCTTACATGTAAAAACTCATTTATTCGTAAGCCCGCCTTGCTTGCCTCGTCAACAAACTCCCTAAAATGCGACATTTCTATGTAAGTACTCAAAGCAAACAAAAATAAGATCGGAAACTGTTGATATGGATACATAGATTATCTCAATCCTAGTTCACCACCTGTCTGGATGAGTATGTCTGCACAATTCAGCAGAATCAATTACTGAGCACACCTATCAAATCAAATAGGTCAGTTATGGCCTGGCATTTTAAGCAAGTTTCACCTGGGCGAGTCCAACTACTTGTGTTCTTTGAACAAAAGCAGAATTAGACCATAAAAACACAAACTTACAGTATCAGAAATCTCATCCATTGCTCGGATAATTTCAGGAGATGAAGGCATGCCAGCTATATAGTTCACAAGTTCTTCTGACCTAATAAGCATGTCATTTTTTATATCAAACACGTGGACGACATGATATAGAAACTCATTCCTGAAATATGGCAATTGCTTTCACAAGAGACAACCGAAGCAGTTCACATTCACGGAGCAAAAGTAAAGAATTTGCGACCTGTTTGTTAAACACTTACCTCTCAATAGCATCGTCGACGAATCGTTGAAAGCCTTTAGGAGTTTTCAAATGATGATAGCCGTAGAGGCCCGTCTCTTTGATTGACGGAGCTTTAGATGTTGAAATGTGAATGAAGTGGGAATTGGCTCGTACATGAGCTGCGGATTGGCGAATCAGAGAGTGCATGGCGTTCGCCGTGGACTGAGCTGCTGAAATCAACTCTTACAACGAGGTCCTGCTCCTCTTTTTCTTTCAGTCTGCAGAAGCTGCCGGCTCCAGTTGGAGGTCCTTCTACTGTCCCAACTGAGAAACCAGAAAAAGAACTCCGGCAAGAAATGGCGCTTTTCGACTTGAAACTCGTTCTCGTTACAATTTTGACTCACCCTTGGTTTGACAATTAGTTTCTTATATGCGAAACCAATTTCTTTAAAAAAAAACATACTACCTATACCGCATAAGAGCGAAAAATTTATACTACCTCTGTTTCGTTTTATAATCTAAAATAAATAAATGACACACTTCTACATTTGAAAATAATTTAATGTTAAACTTTTTATTTTATCTTAATGGAAAGCTTTTATAACCATACAATTAACATGGCCCCATAAAGCTTTTACTCCTTAAGCTTTTAAGACCATAAATTTTAAAAGTATTCGTTTTTTTCTTAAACTCTGTATCGAGTCAAAGTAACTCGTCTAAATTAAAATGGATGGAGTAACTATTTTAGTGCTAGTCAATCGAAGTTAGCAGAACAATCAAAAGTCAACTATATTTAGTCAGGACATTAGCACGAAAATAATTTATTGACAAAAATATCCCTACTTTGTTTATAAAAGTTACGCAACATAATCCCATACTCTGTTTCTACAGAATTTCGTGGCTCAATCTGCAGATTGAATTAAGCACTCACAATTGTTCTTCTGATTCGTCAAATTTTCTAGGGTTAATCTTCGATTCTTCTCCTTTGTAATTAAAATCGTAACTGAAAATTGTTGGATAATTAGATATGAAAATCGTTTATTTTGCACTAATTTATTATGTGATTGATTGTGTAATATATAAATTTGATTTAATTTTCAGTACTTTATGTTGTCATTAAACACCGAAAATATTTATTTGATTAAAAAAACACAGTTAAAGGAATGCCAAATGAATTAATTGTAAAACAAAACAACAGTATAATATGTTGGACCTTTCTGAATTGTTATGTAAAACTTACAAACTTCCAGTATATTATACTAGAAGTGTCTGTGACTCAAACCAGAAGAACACATCTAAATGTCTAATGTTCCCCTAATGAAGGCTGGACATTAAGAGTAAATTATTTTTGAACATTAAATGGATGATGTCATATTAAAATAGNACAAACTCCATTAGAGTTATAATCAAACTTTGTTGTCTTTGCTTGTATATAAAATCAAATTATAGAATTTCAAGAATTTAAAAGAGAAAAATAAAGTAAGATACTTACCTTAAATCCAGAATTTAATCATGAAGGAAGTTCATGGAACAATTGACAATCATTATGCTCAATCCCAAAGCTTCTACTTACTTGATTAGAGTCTCGTGCTGATAACGTGTTATAAATAATAAAAGAAGAAGAAGAGTAGTGCGGAGAAAAGTAGAGGGAGAGAATTCTTATTGATATTGGATGATTTACAATGGAATAAGACCCCTTTATTTATAGGGAGAGGGTGACTTAGCCACCAAGTAATAAACCCTAGAATCTCTCTAAATATAGACATTCATCATAAATAAAATTCTATTTATAACAAAATCAAATAAAAATTAACATGCTTAATAATCATAGAATACATATTTAATATTTAAATTAGATAAATTTTAGCTGAAGGAAAGTCTGCTGTTACTTCTATTTTTACCCTATTAATTTATGAGGAAATAGAATTTCACTTTTGGAAGTATTACTGTATAACTTAACACTGTAAAAGGATCAAACAACCTTGGACAAGCAAAATTGACCGAAGAAAAGTGCAAATAAAACATTCAGGTTTTTTAACCCCAAAAAAAAAAGAACACCAAAAGAAGGAACGGAAAATGTTGCTGTACGTGTACTTCACCATGAATCAGAACTATGCGTTTTTTGAGCAGTCAAGTTATTCTCAAAGTTTGTTATATTTACTGAAATACCATTGGCAACTGAAGCAATAAAGAGATTATTTAGGGGCATAAGAATTCTTCAAAAAACGGCGCTGTCAAAGTTCTTAAGGTCAATTACAATAATACCCTTCTGACCCAAGCTGTAACTGGATGAGTTTTCTTCTGTCAGCTAGTAGAAACATTCTATGCTGATGCAATTACAAAAATACCTTCTTGACCCGAAATTTAACCGGATGCACCTCTCAGTGTAACCGGATGCACCTTTAGAATTTATCTAGAAGCAAGAGAATGGGTTATTGGGTGTAGAAATATTATTAATAAGGACTATGAAGTTTTATGCCATCAAGTGTTTGAAAAAATGCCTAAGTAACCAAAACAAGAGTATTATTGACATTAAACCAGTAGTAAGTTCATCATTAAAATTTAACTCAACCAATCTGCCCCAACTTTTTTAAACATCATCTAACTCCATGAAAGATGGCAGCAATCAGTTTTGTCATCGCATAATTCTGTCTAGTTCATCTAAAGCTAATGCCTTTCACAACCAATGATTTTAATTTGTACTCAAACTTCACCATTATTATGAATGAGTAGCTTTCAGTCAGATAGATTCAATATTGCAGTGTAGGAACAATCGCATAGTGGAATAACTCATTCAGGCAAATGAGCAAACACCTTATGGCCATCTTTTTTAAACTAAACAAAGAACAGGCAAACCTTGGAGAAGAACCTATTTTATAAACTTAATAAAGAATAGAAATATCTTGGTAAGAACTTATCCCTTTGCGCGCGTGCACTGTTTTTCAGAGTCCACAATCAATCGTAATTTTTTGGCGAACAAACAAAGAAAATAGTGGACCAACAATTTAAATAATTTTTTCGCAGCAACGAGTTCGAAAAGTAGAAAAATAAGAAACAAAAAGAGAAACAACTAGGAGAGGAGTTAGACAATTATGATTAATCTGGAGGAAGAAGCTGGGGAATGGCAAGATATCGGATCTCAGTTTGGTGAATTAGTGCCGCCAGCTTTGACGTGTCATAAGTTGGGGAAAAGGGTTACCATGTGGTACTATACAGTTTTCCTAAAGTACCTCCTTTTATTAATAAGGGACAGTTGAGTAGCTCGGGGTCGTCAGGGGCATTTTCGAAAGACTGCAAATGTTTTGGCCTAAGGCACGTGCTAACCCTACCTTAATTTTGACACGTTCCCTTACACCGCTCAAACGAACATCTACACTGCTTCCTCCGGCTTTGCACAGCCTCGCTATTCATTTTCCCAGCTGCTCAACTCCTCTTCCAATTTCCTTTGTCTCTCTTGCTGCACAATTTATTCGCATTCGTTGTACAATTATAAGGTAAGTTTTGCTTTCTTATTTTCTTATTTTTGGAATAGCTGTTGCTTAGAAATTATTTATATTGGGTAAAACTATCAAAGAATTACACACCATTTTTAAGTGGGAACTCAAACTGTTGTTTTAATTACTCTTCTTATGATCCTATTTGTGCGAGGAAAGCTACTTCTTGATTTTTATTTGCTTTTGTATTTGAAATCTGGTCCTTTATGGTGGACTATCATTTTAAAGTCTGGATCCTTTCTATTCTCTCGTTGGGAAAATTTACCTGGAGTTTCGTTTTATCTTTTGGAATTTGGACCCCCCATCAGACTTGCATGGGTGTGTCAAACTCTACTGCGGTGATGTTTCCAAAATTGAGTTAACCAACAAAAGACTGTTTAATTTTATTCTTGTTTGCCTCTTCTTGTTTTCTGTTTACTTCTCCATCTAAACACAGTAGCTGCTTGAGAGAGTGAGTGTGTGTGTGTTGACAAAAGTGCAAGAGAGTATTGTAGTGTGCCTATGATAAATAATATTGTATCCAAAATTGGTAAAATTCAAACTGTGCCTTATTAACGATAATGCCAAAGAGAATCTCACAAGTAAGCCTCGGGTTAATGGGGGTGCGTGCTTGACTGACTGCTAGATGCAGTTGCCTCAGATCCTGCACGATTAGTGCAGAAGTGTAGTGTGAGTACATAAACAATATGTACCCAGTAAGTATCCAGTCTAACCTTGAAGAAGTAGTGACGAGGGGTCGATATCGGCACTTACTGTGGGCTAATAATAAAAAAATACATAAATTCTAAATAGGCATGGAATATATGAACAATAATAATAACACAATAACCAGCAATAAATAAATGATTCTTGTATACGGGTAAAATCGGAGAGCTCGATCTTACGATCATTATGTCTTTCCGTAGCTTCACCTCGAAGGCTCGGGGGCACAGCTCTAGGTTTCGAGTTCGATGTTTCTTTATGACCGACTTCTGGGCAGCATATATCGACGGTTATCATGGAAAAACGGGAAGCTCCCTAGGCACGTGGTCAAAGCTGTTGTAGGACTAAAAGTGGCAACTTAATATGGCTTGTGGAGGTAAACTATAGCTCACTGAGTTATTCGCCACCACAACCTAAACCCCCCCCCCCCCCTCAAAATATAATGAAATCCTTACTTTTCGCTCTTCAGACATTATGAAAAAAGCTTGAGAATTTAACAATAAGAAAAAATTATCACGATGTTGGAGTATTTCTGAATGATTTTTCTCAAAACCCTTAACGCCTTTATATAAGGCAATGCCCAATTCGGGAGGATCAAATTTTTTGGAAGTAAAACGGAGTATAAAAGGGCGTTTTACATATTTGAATTATTGTTATGTCAGTTAAGCGCAGAAGAGTTATTGGTGGGCCCACAAAACATGTAAAACGCAGTTTGTTACTGCGTTTTACATAAAACGCAGTAATGATCCGCGCTTTATATAGCTGTCTTATCAGCTTCCAGTAAAGCGCGACATTAAACTGCGTTTTATATAAAACGCAAGAATAAACCGTGATTTACCTCAACGTCCCAAACGGTCGTTAAGGTAAAACGCGGTTCATTACCGCGTTTTATATAGAATGGTAACTTTTTTTTACACCTAAAAAAGTATTTTGAGTCTAAAAGAACCACATTTTAGTTCTGGACTCAAATAGGGATAGCACGTGTCGCAAGCCAAACCAATTGCGATTTCCCCAAGATACCCCCACGACCCCAAGTTCCTCAAACTGTGCCTTATTAATAGTAGGAAATTTTCGGGGTTTGAACAGTATTTTCGCCCAGATTTATCTTTACATAAAAAGTGGCTAAATTTCGATTACTTTTGAAATTGGGCTATTCTTGAATGACCACTTGTAAATCTGGCTTTTTTTAAATTTCTCCCTAAATTAACGGGTACCAATAAAGTTGCTTCCTTTAACATAGTTACATAAGTACCCTATGGGCCCAGGTTACAAAGTCAGCATATAATAGGGGTGTGCATTCGAATAGGTTTATCGATAAATCGAATCGATTATTTGTTATCGGTTTATCAATATCGGTTTATCGATTTATCGATTTCGATTTCGAAATTTTCCTTATCGAGTTATCGATTTCGATTTCGATTTTGTCCTATTCGGTTATCGGTTTATCGATAATCCGATAAGAAATACTATTAAAAAAAATAATTTTTTTTAATTCTTTTAACTTTTTTTTACCCTTATTCTATAATACCCTTTCCTTTACCCTATGTCCCTAACCCTATTATTTCATCTACCACATTTAAGGAATGATCATATTTAAAGCTCAAGGGAATGAAGTTCAAATTAATGAAAAATAGAATTAGCCGTGATGATGTATTTTTCTTTTATACCGTTGGAGTGTTGGTGGCATACATTTGATCCCTTACTTTAGTTTCGTTGCATGTGCTTGTTGACACAATTTTTATGTTAAACGGTGTTCGTCTTATTTTAGCTTCTTTTGGTCCATATTAGTTATGCGTGTTTATAGCGATATACTTTCCGTGGAGTCCCGCAAATTTTCTTATTGGTGTAATCGATAAGCCCCAAAAATCGTTAAATCGAAATCGAAAAAATCGAAACCTTATTGAAACGATAACGATAAGCATACGTACAAATCGATAATCGATAAGTAATTATCGATAAGGGTCAAAATCGAATCGATTAATTGAATGCACACCCCTAGCATATAATTAGCATTTTAACTAAGATTCTGGTTTTTTCGTCATTAGGCCACAAGCAGCCATGTTGACCCGAAGCTCCTTAAACTGTGCCTTATTAAAAAACTAGATAATGTTGCCCATGCTTTGCATGGGCCCAACAAATTATAGTGTAAACTTATTTTTATTTGTCACAAAAGATTAGCAGATAATTTTGCTGATAGTGGTGTTTATATGTGCAGTAGCGAAAGAAAGGTAAATGTAAATCTACATGATGACCTGGAGTGCAATAACTTTGTAGTTACTGCTAGAATTACAATTCTGTTTGTATATCTATCTTGAGATTACATAGCTAAAAAATTAAAAATTTCATTAGTTAGCTTTCTAGAGTAATGTTGAACCACTTCATTGTTTGCAGAAGAAAAAGAAGAAGAAGCTAGTAATACATGGTACAAAAATCTTGATTCAAATAACCTTTGAAAACAGATCCATTTGTTTAGCTCTTTGTAATCACGTCGAAGCTCATTTAAATCTTCAGGAATTTCCACAAGCCATAAGAGATTGTAACGAAGCATCCGAAATCGAAAATAACCTCTCAAAACAGAGGAAATCCTTCTGTTTAGCTCTTTGTTATGATGCCGAAGCCCATTATACATCTATAATTCTTTTGTTAAATAGTAAAAGTAGACATCAGTAGTATAAAAGTAAACACCATGGGATAAACGTCGCAAACTTTCGAAAATGTACATGGATCCTAATTATAAGATGTCATTATACAATATCTGGAGGCCGCTCCAAGATCCAAAAAATAATACCAAACATAGGCATACACTACAGACAACTATTTAGGCAAAAAATGTGGAACATTTTGTTAAGGCGGCCAACTATCTAAAACCTTCGTTAAAAAGTATCTGTATGATCTGTCAAAAATGTCTCTGTATATCGCATACCATTTCAGCGAACATCACTGCCTTGACAATCTGTACAAATAAAGAGAGATTTTATTTTCATATTTGAAACATTACGTTTAACACTTCCAAACAGATCCCACGAAACTGCATAAGTCAACCTATCCAAACATCTCACTCTCAATAACTACAAAATATGTACCTGTAATGGGACATATCCATGGTTATTCTTGTGGGATGTTAGCTGCCTCACTCAAGCCGGCATAGAGGTGGGTAACACTAAATATGACGTTTTTCTTGTATTGTGATAACTCAACTTACCTCCCAAAGAGAGCTTTAGCGGTACATACATTACATGGTGACATAAAATGGTTATGTAAGTGATTTGTCAGTATATAAAAAATCAAGGAGAATAGATATCTCATCAGGCATTTCAAAATTTTATGAGACCAAAAAGGAAGCCAAAATTTAATCAAGAAACTTATGCAGGAAAAAAACTATACTCGACTCTTTACATGTGCAGTCTAAAAGGTCTAAGTTGTCCAGCTTTAAAATAAACTATTGCATGATTTTACACCACCT